AGATTAACGCTCCCTTGTACAGCAGCGGCTTGTAGGCTGTCTGCATTTGGCTTTGAAAGTGAAGAGGTGAGTCTGTTGCGCCTTGAGGTACACGCAGAGGCGTGTAGACACCATCATGTGTCATGAAGCTAAACATTTCTTGACATTCCTCCGCTAGCATAATCTGCCAGAAACCCTTAAAGAGGTCGAACTTGGCGATAAATTTCACACCTGCTACGAAACGCAGCACCACTGAGAAATGCGGCATGGTCCCCGCGATTGGAACCGTCCTCTTGTTCACCTCGATGTAATTATTGGTCACTCGAGAATCAGTCTTGTTGTCTGCTTTACGCACTGGCACCGCATTAGATGCCCACTTGCTCAGATTATTTTTCTTGACAAACCCAAATTTGAGTAGCTGTGCGACGTAGTCATCAAGGAACTTAATCTGTGCGGGAGGAAATCGTCTGGGTTTGCAACGATATGGCTCTGCTCCCTTCACCATCGTGACTACGAGTGGTTCTACTCGCGCAGGTTCATCTGGCCCAATTCGAGTCCGATATAGGTGCACAAACTTCTTGCTCAGCTTGATCACATCCTCTCGGAAGTCGTTGTACTGATGATCTTTCAGCACCGTGCGGACTTCCTCGCACATTCTTTCCATCTCTACCTGGATTTCCTTTTCGATAACTGGACCTACGTCAGGTTGCTCAGGTATGTCGTCATGGTTCAAATCTATGCTGGTATTAGCTAGCTGTTCACAGGCGCGCTTGACATCGATACCCAATGTTTTCATCACTGCTTTACCCAGTAAGAACTGGTCCTCTTCCTCCACGACCAAACATTCGAGCTTGTAGAGGTTGACAGGTCCAGCTGATGTTCGTATCTGTAAGTCGATAACTGCGGTCTCGCGGCTCCACGTTGTCTTTCCTCCTAATCCAATAACCGGGACAGGTTCTGTCAGAGGTGTTGTAGGCAATGTTCGACCAGTAGCTCGAACTTGTTTAATTGCTTTCCCCGGCAGGATGGATTTATCTGCGCCCGTATCAGGACACATTGAAACTTCCACTACTCCATTGATCAGTACTGTGTGCTCATCGTCATCTGTCAGCTTGGAGATTGCTTTAGCTATTGACTCACCGTCTTCCACTTTTGACGTTGGCTTTCCCACCATGGCACGCTTGACTTTCGACGGTTTGCCCAGTTTTGCATGTGCTGCTTCCTTATCTGCTGGTGTGGCTGTCGGGCAATCCCGTAGCCAGTGGTCACCCTTACATTGGAGACAACCGGTTCTAGGGGGTGGATGGTTGCTGGTTGCTCCTGCTGTCGTACTCGGCCGTTTGGCAGTACTGTGCTTTGTCGACGGCTTCTCAGTATCGTCTGAGCCACCATGGGAGCTTGCCGGTCGACCAGTGCCTGTGCTGGTATCCGCTTTAACGCTTTTTCGATTATTTGGCTTGGAGCGCCCACTGACACTGTCAGTTTGGCGAAAGCGATTGTAGAATAGTTGTTGAAGTTCAGCGCGCTCCAGCACCAGCTTGTATAGCTGTTGGTTGTTCGTACGGATGCTTCGATACTTTACCAGCTCCAGCATACCCTTAATTTCGTCACGTAACATTGTCGGTCTAGGTTTTCGACAAGGATCTTCGTTCTTTGCTTCATACGAGCTCCGTAATCAGCGTCCTTTGTATCACCACGGCCTAGGTTTTCCTGGAAACCATTCTCTGCGATGATATTCTCGAACAGACGAAAGTAGGTTGCTATGCGGTTGGGGACATCTTTGATAGTGAGGTCCATCTTGAGTTGCTGGGAGAACAGAGCAGCGGGGTTTGCGAGGTACTCCTTGTTCATGGTTTCACACCTTTCCTTGATCTTGGCCATGATGTCCTCGTCAGAGATTTCGTCTTTGGGCTTGCCAATCTCATAAGACGCCAAGAAGTCCAACAGGCCCGGATCAACGGCTGTGCGAATTCCACGCAGCACCCTTGAGTACTCTTCTCCTGACCATTGGCACCGCTCCCTTATTGTCTCCTCGTACTGCGTTCGCGCTCGCCGCCACTTGATCAGCGACGCTTGGTCCCATCCCTCCAGCTTTGGAGGCAGCACGACTTCGAATATCGGCTGGGGCACCGTCATCACTGCGTCACCGTCACTCTCCATGCGAAAGCGCGACATCGTTGCTTGCAGTAGACTATCGAATTTTAACTGCTCGCAACCAAAGTATACTTTGTGGTCTCTTGGGCTGTTGAAGGCGAATTGGATAGTGTATTAGCTTTCTCCTACATGCATGGCCAGCGGTTGTGCGACCTTTCGCTATCTAACCGCTGTGCTTCCGTTAACTTCTTGTTGTCCGTCAGCAACGGACAACGGCCGTGTAGCCAAGTCTGGAATCTGCTGAGAGCAAGCTGCTCCACAGTGGCCTGCCAGCTTGTTCGCATCAATATCCACAGGGAAAGCACTTCCAGCTACACCAACGATCGCTCACGTAAGCGTCACCATGGGAGAATTTTGGATCGTACTGAAGCGGGACAAAGGCGTGTCAGACTTTTAACCAATGACGAGACAGTGCGGAAACTTCCTTTTGCTTGTAATCCCAGTGTTGGTATTTCCGGTGCTTGGACATGTGGAGGAAACCTCGTTCGCACCAGACACCATTTAGCGGTGTTGCCGCTGTTCTCGAAGGTTGACGTTCAGGAAGCTTTAAACCTACTCTCGGTGGTAAATTACGGGAAGGAAAAAAAATTGCCGGTGTTCTGTTCCAGTATATACTACTAACGTACACTCTCCGTGACTACTACTTAACTGTTTTTACTATTGCTGCCCTGACAACCACCTCAAAGAATCCAGGCTCCGGCCGCGTTATTTTACAAAAAAAACTTGCTTTTTTTCTTTTTCCAGTATTTTGACACGTAATAATAAAGCTGTGAGTAAATCGAGAAGTTGGTTCGGTCTAGCCCTGTTTATATTGTATCCCTAGTACACGCAACGAGAGAACCTAGCTCCGACCACAGAGGCTGTCATTGCATACACTGTATGTACTCTCTCTGTGTCAGCTGAGAGAGAGGAGCAGGCAACATTACTCAGTAGTAATTAAAAATTGCACTAACACATAATCAAACATACTTACTGCACAAAATATCACCGTGCCCCGCACACATTATAATTCACATGCAGTTCTGAAGTCTCCCCTGTGGAAAGCATGTCGTAATGAGAAATATATATATATATAATTTGCCTGTTAAGAACATTATTGTAAATATACACCTTTATACAGCACGTATGCATGGTCAATATGTTGCCTGATGCAAAGAGCACATGTGTCCAGGTGCAGCTATAGTTTGTCCCAGGGACCGCGCGAGTCTTTCAATCGTAGATCAGGCAAGCTTGGAGTAGAGCTTGCATGCTTACAAACAAAGAAAATTACCGTGCCAGATTTTCAGTACACATGACAGCTTTCGTATAGCAAATGGTAGTTCTATTTTAGGTCATGCAAATGCGCAGAGAGTTTTCACCCTATCGGTATGTTTGGCTCCTGGAAGAAATGTTTGTCTTTCGTCCAATCAGTAGGATCAAATCGGTCTTAATCGTGCTACCGATTACAGTCAGTGTCGCAGGTTCTCGCGCTTAGGTACGATTTCTTCCGAAAACGTATTTACTGTGTAGCCAATAAGATTGCGTTTAACTTGACACTCGCTTGCGTCACGCAGTCAGGATAGTGATGCAATAGCGCAGGTGAGTTTTCAGTGTTCAGATTGATGAAGAGAAGGCTAAAAGAGGGGTGCAACCGGTAAGAGAGGGTGCAGGACGGACGGACAGAAAGACAGGTTAGGTAAAGAGCAAATTCAACGAATCAGCCACATACAAATTCCCTATATATCGAATGCCAAAAGCCGTAAATTGCTGAGCAGCAACTACTTCCATTCGTGAAAAGACAGTTCTTGAGTATTTGTCCGATTAATTACGAACGGGTCTGTAGCCAAGGTCGGTAGGGTGGGCGCGTAGTTTCCAGCGAGCCATGGGCGGGTGCTGTAGAAATGACTAACGACATTACGGACAAGGCTAATCATTCTCCAAACTACACGACATTATCATAATGGAGAAGGGAGAAGCGTCGTTGTGTTTTCAATTTGGTGCTGTGTACAATACCAGCCCTTATTAGGCCTTTAATAGAGGCCCCTAAACACTTATTAAGGAATACCCGTCTGGAGCAGCAACGCGTGCCCTCCCAAATTGCGCGGTTACTGAGTAGAAGTTCTACTCAGTAACCCAGAACCTCACAATTCATGTAGCCAGAATGATCATGCAAATGGGATGAAAAAGGGGGTGGGTAACACCACGTAACCACATATTTCGTACTTCGAAGTGCCATAGGTATAGGATTTGACATAACACCAGATAGTAATCGGTACTGATGCGAACATGTAACAAAGTGTTGTGACTGGAAGAGCATGGTAGAAAGCGAAAACGGAGACGCATGCGCACTAATTGTCTCTACAGGCTCGCATTATGTAGTAGGTCGTTTACCATGCATCGGCTGAATGGTCAATGTGAGCTTCTAGAAAGCCAGTTTGCGGATTTGATTGCATCCTTGCCATGTGCTCACTAATCACTACAGATAGTATTAGCAGTATTGTACCGGATTCCATGCATTTCCTGCAACGATAGTGAATCTGAAAGAATTTACATGCGTAAAAAGTGTGCTGAGGATTAGGTATTAGCAGTGTTTCATTGGCTAATCTTAATGTCATAGCATGGACATGTTTGCACAGAATATTGTTCATTGGCTATTTTGTGAGATTTGATGCTATCGGTAATTACGCTGGTTGCACGATTGCAGGAATTGCATGGAATCCGGTACTGTTGGCGCTCCACAGCTGATGCGGACATCAGTGGAGTTACGCTCTGATGCATAGATACAGGTAGTGAAACTGCTTGTCCACTTCCCAATCTGCGCAGCGTCAAACTCTGGTGGAGGAACACTCGAATTATACTCTTTAAACCAAACCAGCCGTACAATTACCATGCGCATCAGCATCGTTACAGCGCTCCTGCTGGTGTATTGCGCAAGCTTCGGCAGCCCCGAAAATGTCGAGCTCGACAACAACGTTGGAAGCGAGGGTCGCCGTCTTCGTTCTGTGGGTTTTGTGAACCATGAAAACGTGGCGAAGAACGTCGCTCAATTTGCCTCGAAACTGACGGAGAAGCTGCCGAAGAATGTCGAATTGGCTGCAACTCGAGCCAAAAAACTCACGGAGAAGCAGCAGAAGGTTGAGGAGGATACGTTTACTAAGCTAATTGCTGGTGCCTACAGCGACAAAGCCAAAGCTAAAGCCTTACTCAATATTTACGGTAATATGCACATCAATGCCAAGGTGGATCCCAAAACAGCAGCGGGCGAGTTACGTCGTGAAAACCAGCTCGACGTATTGCGGAAAGTGAAAGAGATGTTACGTCATGAAAGGTCGATAAAGAGGGTGCCTGAAGCAGCGAATAATTTGTAGTTGTGACTTTTGCCGTCCAAAATTTGCCAGCATCGTGTTGGGTGATACCTTATGGCGTTGGCCATCTTTTACGTACGAGCTGACTAGCGTCTCACTTTAATGACAATGACTAAGTAGTTACCAATCGATTCCTTCAATATTTTTGTATTTGGATTATTAATAATGATCAAAAAGTCATCTCTAATGGGTTCACTCCAGCATATACCACTTTATAATGTACAAAATGTAGTGTCCGCTCTGGTTTGCATTCAGGGAGTTTGGCAAGAGTGGTATACATGTAGTTTCAATCTTAAGTATACACGGATTGTGATCGCGATTATCGAATGATAAACTAACAGTAAACCAGCAGTACTCGCCAGTATGACTATAGCCTGCCCTACTGGTTCTGGCGAACAATTCTGCATGCATGGCGCTTACGCCAGCAACACAGCAGCACTTCGAAACGAGTTCCTAAGTATCTGTGTAGGTTACCACGCTCTCCCTCCTCCTCAGACATGTAGCCATGGAGCAGAAGCACAGGGATATGAAGTTTAGGCGTCCACAAAGCAGAGTAGATCACGCCTGACTTATCTATCCACCGGTAAGACAGCATTTACCAGTGCAAACAGATGAACAAGCAGCACCCATTTTGTGCTGCAATTCGCTGAACTGCGCTAGATGACTGCGGTTTTCGAGCTGTCTGCAATTCCTTACTGTAAACAACCACATTTTCATTTTGTAACTTGTAAATTTAGGTTCGGTAATCTTTGCAGATTCTCCAGAATGCATTGCGTAACCAAGCCAACAATATGATGCACCCCTATTGACTCAAGTATAAACGCTCAGGACAGTCCGATGCCTCCTATACAGCGGGATCATGCTACTGTTTCTGTCGCGGCATTCCATTTGTATAAATTACCGCCAAATACTGATACAATTTATTATGAAATTTGAAAGCCAATAATTATTCATGCATGTCTGAATTTAATAAGGGAAATGACCAGTTGAGGAACGTCAAAGAGTTAAGGACCGGCGAAAAATTTAACCAAAGATAGCATCTCATTTCTCATACCAATCTTGTATTGGTAAGTAAAAACGAAAAGCATGACCTGGTCATGACCTTTGGACCTGGTATCTCGAGGCACCAACCGTTTTTCGGCTGCTATCGGCAGATATCACCACTTGGCGGAATTCCCAAGAGGCGGAGGCTGCATGGAGCTACTCCTAGAGCGTGACAGAAAGAGGACAAGTACATGGTGGGCTTAAGTTAGTGCTGCACCAAATGTGAGTGTGGATCCTATTGTACCTACGTACTGCCTTACGCCACTACAGTTCTATCGACTCCAGCGCTAGTTCGATTGCTTTCCGACTCGGAAACTTTTTTACGGACTGGAGAGAAATTTTCCATCGTCACTGCATCCTCAGGCACTACCTACGGCTCCCAAGGTGGAAGATTGGCTACTGCGTGACGAGTGTGTGGATGGATCAACTCATGGCTCATTTCACGAACAGTTCGGCCTCAAGTCGACAGCCCTGCATTTCTTCAGCTTGCACGGCCAACGTCACAATCCACACTGGTCGTATAGCGCTGTCGTTTCGTGGTGCATGACAAAAGTCAAGACCAACAGTACTCTGAAGGCGATCTGCGACAGAGAACTGATGGCACGAATACTTTCTTTTCAGACGTTTTAGCTTGCAAATATATGTGTGTCAATAAGTTTTTTTTCGCTGTTTCTTACCAGGGTCGCCACTACATCGTGCTACGGGCCTCGTCTCCTGTCTTTTCATCGGTGCTGTAGAGCGAAGATTGTGGTTGCTACAACAAATTTTCGCTAAATACCAGAAAAAAGATATTTCGATTATGTCCCAAACCTAATAATGACCCATAGAACGGACAGCCTTATACTCAAGGTCATGTCCATTGACACCAACAGTAGCAACAACAAGAATAAGATGAAAAAGAAGACAAGCACTTCAGCGAAGCCACGCAGTAACCAGCCTTCTATCTTGCAGTCCTTCAACTCACAAACAAACAGAAATAATAGTTACTTCAAGACATGCTTCATTCCATACTAATCTTAAATCAACTTTACCATGATACCTGGTTTCTAAAGCCGATACCGGGGTCCCGCCAAACGTTTCAAACGGTACTTAATATAATTAGGGAACGGTGGTAGTAAGGACGATACAGCGTTTGCAGTGGGTGAAGAACGGTCGGCCGGGTGGCTGATTGACAGTAGTACGACGTCGCACGTGGCGTCTCACATAAAGGGCTTGGTAGAGTACAAAGGACTGGACATTTTTCATCGATGTGACGTTCCCAGACAGCAAGAAATTGCGTCAAATGAACGAGAACGGTCCAGCTGACGGATCCGAACGCACAAATGGTCAGTGTACTTTGCATTCCTGGGCTCGACAGACGGTTGCAGTCAGTGGGAAAGGTCGTGGAGCGTGGCTTGCGCGTGGAGTTCCAACGCTCCTCATGTGTGATTGGGAACGCCTGATGCGCTATTGCCTCAGGCAAGACGGTTGCAAGCTGTTGAAAAAAAAGGAGAAATCACGATTCGTGTAGTACATCGGGGCTGGAAGCAAAAGGGTGCTTTGGTACGGTCGCATGGGACATTCCAACAAGGCATAGCGTTCCATGACCGGTATCTCGCCGATGAAGGATGGAGCGGCACTTTGTGGGGTAGATGTATGATTGGGAGGCAGACGGTGCTAGCGTTCCCATCACGGTCGATGGTGAAGGCAACAAGTGTGTTGAACGTTGTCACCACGGACGTCATGGGACTTATGAGAAAGCATTCGAAGTGTGATGCCAACTACGTGCTGACGTTCCTTGACGACTATTCGAGGTATGTCGCGGCGTACTTCATGAAGAATAAGAGCGAGGCAGCCACCAAGTCGAAAGAGTTCAAGGTACTCTACAAAAATCAGTGGAGGGG